ATAATTATTTGAAATAGAAACAAAATATAAATATTAAAAAATCCCATCCTGGTCAGTGATACTGATTATATTATTGTTATGAAGATTTTTGAGGGCTATTAGGCATAGCATCTCTCCTCTCTCTAGCCATCTGCACAATGATCAGAGCTCAGATGGAAAGCAACAGTATTCTGACTGAAATAAATGATTGTTGGGCAGGCTTTCAGTCTCAAGACTTAAAAATCAGTATAGCATTACACAGTACAGTATGACACAATTGTGTAGCATTACAAGGTGCATATATATTCTTATTTCTGATTTTCTGGACTTTCAACCCGTGAAAAAATGTTCAGTAGAGGTTTGTCCTGGGCAAAGTGTTACTTAAACCTCCAAGTCCACATGTCAACACTGTTTTCATCAGATAGGATATGCTGGTGCAGTTAGAAAAAAAAGAGGATGCATGGCTGTGACTGGAAAGAAACATGTATAGAGAAATCTTTTAATGTCTTTTAATGTGCAGATGAGCTGTATCACAGAAATATCCACAACATTTGGACAGAAACAACGTTTTCTTAAAACTCCTTTTCATATCTTCCTAGCCATAATTTAGTAAAGGTTTTGTTTTGTTTATTTTTCTGCATATTTGAGCAGCTGACTGAGCAAAAATACTGCAAAAAGTGAGTTTTAATTTCTACTTATCTGTATTTTAAGCTGCTGTGCATGTAATTCTTCCTAAGTTTTCAGTAATGAAGAAGTATTGGGGAAAACAAACAAACAAACAAACAAACCAAAACAAAACAAAACAAAAAACAAAAAAAAAAAACAACTTTCTCTCACTTACTTCTCTTGACCAATTTCTTTCTGTCCATGGCTATATAGGAGTATAACTAGATCTGGTATAGTCCTGCAGCTCCTCTGCAATTCTGAGCTACCATAAAGGAGATGTCAGTTCCAAATGCAGACTCAGCAATAACTAACAAAGCAGTATAATATTTCTCATGCCAGATCAGCAGTTATATTTGCCCAGTGTGTTTCTATTATCAGGCTGAACAAAACGTCTTATCTTAGTATCTCATTCTTATTCTTCAGAACACAGGAATATGCATGTCTCTGGCCAGATCAGTTCCACAGGCAGTCCTGAAGCAATCAACAGTTATTTCAACCAAAGTCATTTTACAGGCATTGAAAATTAAAGAATGCATAAAGATATCTGCACATAACACACCAGAAAATATTGATAATGGATAAGCTGGGATGAAATCTTACATATAAGATTTCATAAATACCTCATAAATATCTTCACTTGACTTACACGATGTTACGCATTTCAGGAAGAAATGCAAAGACATGGGATGATGATTTTCTTCCCCTTTGTCCAAATGCAGGCTGTCATCTGTTTCTCCCTGAATTACTGAAGAAAATAATTTCCTTGACAGTTTTTCTCCCCAATAAGCTACTATTCTTTTTTTCTTTCTTCTTTCCTCCTTAAGTAAGACTACGCAATTTAGAGACTGCAAATGATTCTGTGTGATAGAACAACCTCAAAATGGATGCTGCTCAGACATGCTAACATAACTCACCAGCCCAAATGACCTTCCTCTGAGATCTTTTGCTTTGGGATGACATGGTCAGGTCAGTCAAAATTAAATTATTAAGGATGTATCTATTTACTGATGCATACTTTTACCAATTACTGATAAACTTGTCATTCAAATTCCTTAGAACCTACACTGCAAACTGAGAACTGAAGCCCAGAAATTAACTGCAGTGAACAGAAAAACAGGACATACCTGAGTGCTTCAGAAAGAAAAACAAAAACAAAAAACAAAATCCACCAACAACAAAAACCAAAACACACTGTGAAAGATCTAAAATGCCTTTGTGATTTCTTTCTTTAAGGAGGAAAGGGAGAGAGGGGAAGAGAGGAGGAGAGAGGGGGACAGAGAAGGTGTGGTGGGAAGACAGCTTACAAGAAAGGGAAAAAAAGTCGCTCCTGCTTTTGTGAGGAGTCATCTTTAAGGTCAAAGAAAACTGAAATTAGAGTTTTCTATCTCATCTGACAAGAATCTTCATTTCAATGGCTGCATCACATAGGCCAAACAGCCTCTAAAACCCTGTTGTTGTTTTTTGATTTGCGGGGATTTTTTTTTTTTTTTGGCAGTAGTTTTTTGTTTCTTTGCTTGTTTTCTTGGTATCCAATAGTTTATTTTTTTTTCTTAAACAGCAATAAAATCAAAAATTGTATGTTATGACATACAGCATTTTCCATGAAGATGGAATATTGAAATCCCAGCATTTCAAATAAACTTAGCATTTAAAGTAACCTCAAGACCTTACACACTGTAAATTAAAAATTAAAAATAAATACTTTTTTTCCTACATGTGGGCATTTTACATGCAAATAATACATAAGTAAGGACACATCTTCAAATGGCACATATTCCTGTGTAAGATGGCTCAAAATGTCCATGAGATACAACACAAACTACACTCCTTTCCCTTTTTATTCCTCTTTAAATTGCTACTTCAGTATTATGTACCACCAAGAAAGATTAATTAAACTGTTACGAGGCAGCAGTAATTCCATGTCTAGGAACAGAAGCAGCATCGAAAATTAACCAACTAACCTACTAAGTTGTTGGCATTTTTTGTTTTGTTTTTTAATTGTAAACAGCTTAAGAACATCAGGAAACTGAGAAGATAAGACAGTGAAGTTATACAAAGAGTTAATTTGTTCTTACTAGGCGAGTTTATTCTGGTCACTCGTAATTGGTCACTGTAACACTCCGGTCACTTTAAGTTTAGCTAAATAATTAATGAACTTTCAGTGTAGCTATGCAGGGAATTAAGCAAGGCATTTTTTTTTCTCCTTATTTTATCAAGTTTAGTTAAGCCTGGTGAAATGTAAAAGCCAAATTCTCACTGAATAGGGAAAGCAGAATAGAATGTTTGAATGTGCTCTTATATTAAAAAAAAAGCAAGCACTTTTACAGTTATGTGTTACAATGTAAGAAGTGTTGATAGATAAATAATTTCTCCTGTGAATCACAGCTGCTAAAGGAATGCTTGAAAAAAGTACAAGAACTATGCTCAAGTTTATCCACTGCTGTGAGGAAAGTATGTCAGTGATCTGACTTCATATTCATATCACTGACATCCAGTGATACTGTGACAAAAGTGAAAGAAAGGAAGAAAAAAAAAAGTGGAAACAAGGGAGGAAGGGAGCAAGAAAAAGAAGATAAAAAGAAGAAGATACAAAGAAAGAGGAGAAGTAGAATGAACAAGCAAAGGAAAGAAAAGAAAGAAAGGAAGTAAAATGGTTTCAGTAGGCAAAGAGATCCTGCCAAACATCACATCTTAAGCAATCTTCTAAGTTGGAGCAAAAACTCATCTTTCTTACACTGAAATTCTGACAAACAATCAGAAACAAGTGGAATTAAGAATTTTCATAGCAAATACAAAACTTTTCAAAAACAGCCAAAACAGATTTTGATTTATGTTACACTGCAAAAACAAAAGGTGCATACCCACCTCAGTGAACAAGTGGGTAACTACATACTACTTTCTGTATTTGGATAGTTCTAACTTGTATATTATGTTCTGACATGGATATTGTTTTCACAAAACTGATTTGTCTGACTATCACAGGAACCTTGCTAGATCTATAGGACCATCTGCTGGTAAAAATCAAAGGCTATTTTATGCCTAACAAAACTTAAAATAATCTTTTGTTCCAGAGATAGGCTTATATTGCATATAACAGCCCGCATACCATCTCAGAATGTGGGCTGATTGTCACCTTGGTGTTGTTAGAAAAACAGCTTCCTTATCCAGTATTCCACAGTTCTGTGAACAGAATGTATTTTAACACAATTTCTATTCACAGCTTAAGTGAATCACTTCCCTTACAATTCCTCACCCCCAACTATTCATTTATGTACAGATGAGCAAAGCACTTTGATGAAAGTAGGTTCCAGAATAGATTAAAACTCCAGAATTTGCAAGTTTATTTTTGCAGATGGGAATGATATGAAATAAGGAGCCTTAAAGAAAAAAACCTTACTACAGATTACATATTGTATTTTAAACGTCCCTTGCTTCATCCTTCCTCCTCCACATCAAAACAACTTCAAAGGCCCACACAAGTATAATATAATAATGCAATAAATTTAACCCAATTTTCATAGTGGTATGTCCTTGAGAATATCACACATTATTTTACGTCACATACAGAAAACAATTTGCGGTCATTCTACCACTTACTCAGTGCTAATTTGGGCAAGGTATTGTCCCTTATAAATTAACACACTTTTGTCTGTGATAGCATTGCACACCAGTAGCAATCAAAATAAATCCTACTTATGCCCACATATGCATTCAGGAATAGCTGGGTCTTCAATCAAGAATTCTGCATGACTATAGATCATATGATTAAATTATGCCTACTTTACGACTTCCTCAGTGAAGAACTGTCTTTGTCTTGCTGACCCTCAAACATTCCCAGGGAACGCCATATTTAGAGAATGTTTAGGTGCATAATCTGTTTCATCCTCAAAATTAATACATGCCAGCAGTAATAACTCAGAGCATAACATATGGGCTTTACTCAGTAAAAATATAAGCACAATTAGCACCGAAGAAAATGGACAATTCTTGAACACTTTATTAAATATATTCCATGTGCTTGCAAGTCCAGTTAGGCTGAGGCCTAGCCTTTTTTTTTTTTTTTTTTTTTTTTTCTGAAACAGATTTGAATCACTAGAAAAAGCTATAATTCATAAAAAACTACCAAATAATAAGAAAAACCTGTTTGCATCTTATGTACTTCCCTGACAGAATAGTATTAAATCTGCTTCATTTACTAATTACACTGATCTATTTCTTTCTTCTTTTGGGGGGAGGGAGAGTGAAATTACTGGATATTGTTTTGCCTGAATGTTTTCCTAAAAGTGTGCTGATGTGTATTTTTCACAGTCACCTAAGCATGCAATTTTGCAATTAAATAAGCCTTACTACACAAAGAGAGATTTCAGATTTTTATTCAAAAATTGCAAGAAAATCAAAGATTCAACATGCGGAGACTTTCAAGGTACATCCATCACTGTATGGCAAATCTCCTTAACTTCAAAAAGTTTGTCTTTATAGATGGGTGCTGAGGATGGGAAAAGGTTTGTATTTATTAGGAAAAAAAAAAAAAAAGTGCTTTGCTAAAACAGCTAATTACAGCTAATTCTTACCATTTTTAGATTCTGTTAAGTCTTAGGATTGCAGTTTCTCTCAGGTAGCACAAGGATCTGAAAGTAATTAAAAAAAAATAATGAAAACAAATGTAATGAAAACTGTCACAATATTTAAAAGGTTTTGTTTTTTTTTTTTCTCTCCAGTGTGACAGTAGTGAGCCAAGAATAAGCTTCAGTGGTTAAGATTAAAGTTATGCAAATTATTCTAACCACATGTACACTTATATACCATATTCCTCTACTCTTCAGTGTTCTGTAGGCTTAAATATACGAAAAAGGAATCCCTAGCACTTGGATTTGCAAAACTATTACGCTATTCATAGCACTTGGTACTTCTCTGAAAAGTCCTAATGGTTAAGACACCTAAAAATTAGTCAACGGGACAAAATCCATCAACCTGTGCTTACTGTGAAAGGTGGTCCATTGTTTGCAGCCATACTACAAAGTGTGGTGCCTTTTTTTTTTTTTTTTTTTTTTTTTTTTTTTTTTTTTTTTTCCCAGTCAAGAAACACGCATTACAGTGTCAGGCATTCACAATGTAAGGGCCCAGAGAGTAGGTATTTTTGGAAATGGCACTGCATTACATAACCTCCCGTTTTCTCTCCCTCTATTCCACACACACATACTTGCATGCACACACCTATTTTTAATAGGGAGGAAAAAAAGAGTAGGTCCTACCTCGTTCAAATTACTGCTCTTTTAACTGAGTGAATTTGTAGCACACCTCCTTTATCAGTTCTCATAAAGTGAAAAAATAAAGTTCTCTTCTACTGATAGATTATGTATTTCTTACCTATAGTGTGTATGTACGAGATATAATTAGGTATGAGTCATACGTCTACACACAAATACATACATCTATGCTGGACAGAAAACTGCAAACTCTTACCTATAAATGGACATAGAAACATTCAGAAGAAAGCACATCAAAAAATGCACACCAAAATACATTTGTTTGGGGTTTTTTTGTTTGTTTGTTTTTGTTTTTGTTTTTTTTTCCCTCTCTCTCTCCCTAAAGAACCACCCAAAATTTAACTGCTGCACATGCAAAAACGCAGAAGGCTGTTGCAAGAATGACTGCTTTCTAAAAATAAACACCAGCAGCCTGAGAGGAATCCAGTGTCAGGGCGGAGAAGAGGGAGATTCGTTTTACAAGAGAGAAGAAAAGAGACGAAAGCCCAATCCTAGAGCCTTGCATACATGCTAAAAAATCTAAGCGCCCAAAATTCAGAAAGGCGTTTTGGTGATTTTGGAGTGAAAAACCAAAAAAGAGAGGAATTAGTTTTACAAAACCACTCCTCGTCTCCCCTTGCATGTGTGCAGCACAATCCCCAGCCCAGAAATCCAGCCTCAAAGCACAAAGACAAAGAGTTAAGCATATATACTGCACGTTCTCTCATCTCCTTCAAGAAAGCCTGTTTTGGAAATGTGCGCGGAGAGCGTGCTGCAAGCTGCAAGCACAGACCAGCTAAGGGCAAAAGGAAACGAAGAGAAAGAAAGAAAGAAAGAAAGAAAGAAAGAGAGAGAGAGAGATAGGATTAATAAAAAGTAGAACGAAATTCTGTGGATTGGAATTGCATATACTTACAGACAAAAGCCCCCGCTCCCTGCTCACTTTCTGTCCTTTCTACATGATCTGAAACACAAATGTGGATTAAAAAAGGGCAGCATGCTACAGAGGGAATTTATAGTTGGGGGAGTGGAGAGAGGGTAGGGGGTGTGGGGAGGAATGACTGCACCTCTTCCAAAGTGCAGTCGTGGAGAAAAAGGGGTGGGGGGTGGCTGGGGGAAAGTCTCCCTCTCTCTCGGGCTGGGATTTGGCTGCCAGCACTGGTTATATTGAACAATGAGCTAATTCTGATGGTAGCTGGCTGCCTGCCAGCTCCCCGCTCCCCTCCCGTCCCCTCCTTACACATACACACTCCCTCCGCCCGCCTCCCCCCACCGACCCCCCTCCCTTTCCTCCCTCTTCCCCCCTCCT